GGCAAGCAGCTGGAAGATGGCCGCACGCTGTCCGACTACAACATCCAGAAGGAATCCACCCTGCACCTGGTCCTGCGTCTGAGAGGGGGGCAGTAACCCTTCCCATTCCTATAATTTTTTTTATTTGTATTATTTGTATTTTTTTTCCCAGTTTGGGTTATGTATGTTGTAGTGTTCAAATAAATAAATGACAAGAATCCAAAATGTCTATTTGTAATTTTACCATAAAATTAAAGGGACTGATTTCTTAGTAATAGTGCTCCTGAGCAGTATACATTTTAACCTTTAGTATTTACTGTTAAAATGAGAATACAGTTGCAATTCAATTTGCCACGTTCAGTATGTATTTATTTGGATATGTATATAAGCCAGATAATTATAAGTAACTAATATGACGTATGCAGGTCCAAAAGAACCACTTGGAGAGGGTTTAGATCCTTTCCCCTGTACTTTTGTGTTCTTGGGTCCTCCTTGTTTTGCTGTATTAGGTAACCTTGTCATTAAATCTTCACAGTTTAGTGGATTTTTGGTTTTTCTAACTTCATACAAGTTATCATATAGGTGTCACATAGCCGACTTGGGTATAAATGCTGCTAAGCTAAGCTTCCCAGTACGTCATAAGACCAAATCAAAACACAATAAGCACTAGGCAACTGCAAAATACATGAACATCCAGTGTTGCCAAGAGATTGCTGACTGGATGCAGAAGGATAGCTTTTTCTATTACCAAACCACACATGAGAAATGTATACAGCTATTATTAGTTTTTATTTAAAGTTATTTTTAACTTGTTGGACGGATAACGGTGGAATTCAATGTGTGACTGAAAAGGGTGACATGCAACACTCCTTGTATGTTGGTGCTGTTCTATTAACAGCTTTGAAAATCAGCATAAAGGACTTCAGGTTGATGAGAGCGCCTATAGCAGGGGTGTAAAAGTCAGTCAATGAGGGGGCCAAAACTTAAATGTGATTACCAAAGCAGGTCAATATTTCTTGAAAAAGTCTTAAATCATCCATACAGAAATATGACCTTCTCCCAAGACATAATTAAGAACAAACCAAGCTTATAGATTAAACAAACGAGAGATCACATTAAAAAGAAAAACAATCAGTGGCATAAATTTTCATGTTTTCCTCTCCATATAAGCAGTTTTTTGCCGAGTCATTTCCATTGAAAATGTTTTATCTATATTTTATCAGGAAAATATGCCAGGTCCGTCCCTGTTTTTGACAGGTTGCTTACTCTTTTTTATGGCCTGACACTGCTTTTGGGAAACATACCTCAGAGCAGAAGTTCAGACTAAACCATTTCAATAGAGGGTAGGGGTTTTCTTGGTGAAATCTGTCAGAAAAAAACTTAACAGTATTTATCATTTGTATTTTATTTTTGTGTAAACCAAGAATTACATTTGATATTATTGAGGGGGATAATCCCTCCAACTCAACACTGAGGGAGAGTATGTCCACCCCGTCCCCCCTAAATCTATGCCTATGCTATCATGAGTATGTCAATGAAGAGGCAGGATGGAGTTGGCTTGAAGGCCTTGACTGATGTGCCAATGCGCCAGCTATCGCAGTGCAATCTGGGGTTTGTAGTGCCAGTGATGTGCATGCTATATACATACAAGTGTACCCCAGGCTGGATGTGGCGCATGAGCCTTGAGTTTGACACGCCCAGTCTATATGGAGTCAATGAAGAGAAACAAGGACCAGATGCGCTGAAAATAAAGTTTGCATGTCTCTGGGGTGTTGGCAGTCTTACTATAGTAGTTAGGTAGTCTGGGCTAAATGTAAGTGAACGAATATATAGTCCATTTAAACTGGGATACCCTGAACTAAAAGAAGAACTGGGGTCTGTGTCACAAAACTGGATTTCATGCTTAGTCACTTAACTTTATCTTTGTTCACTTACATTTAGACCAGACTACCTTAAATACAACAAGTTATCCAACTAAGCAAGAAATCCTGCTTTTGCCCCTGCTTATTTTCCTTTTTTTTGGGTTATGATTGTCAGTGTTATAGACCAATAAAGAGCTGAGACCCTTCCTAGTTCTGGTAAAATGGTGTAATGTTTGTAGTCCACAAACAGCTTCCCTGAGGGCAAAATATCAGCATAAGCCAGTCGTGGAATAGGACTACTACAACAATAATCCTTGTATTTTACAAACAGAGTTCGTACGGTCATGAAAAACCTGGAAAAGAATTTGAAAAGAGCAATTTCCAGATCTGGAAA